GATTCTTTCTAATATGCCAAGCTTCGGCTCTCTTAATATCAGAGCCTGTATGTTTTTCTTTTTTCTTTTTCTATCAATGGAATGGTAGCCATACTCAGAAACCAAACTGCTATTATGAAAAAAAAAATTATACTTGTTTTTTCTTTATTAACTAGGATTTTGGTGGTGCATTTGTATTGTAGTTTTGTCCTATCTTACTCTTTCTCCCATGGAATGATTCAGAACACTATGCAAGTCCGCTTTATTTGGTAGTTAACAAAACCATAGGACCGGCATTGTTCCTATGTTGTATGCCATGATTCATGAATGTAATAATCTTTCATGTCAAATATTTCTCTGCTTAACATTCTCGTACTTTCAGACCAAAATAAAATAAAATACATTCTCGTACTTTTTACTTTCCTTTTGCCGTTGTAGAGTAGTGCTTTGCTAGATACTCGTCAAGAGACAGAAAATGCTCGGGCCTGTTTTGAACTACTTCTATATGGAGCATCTGGTACCGCGTTCACTAAAAGACAAACGATTTCATTTGAAACTCAAATATGTTTTGCATATTGACCTGAAAATGCTTTCGAAGAATCCTATTATGTGCTTCTTCATGAAGCACTGAAATTGTTTTTCCAACTGAAAATGCATTGTTTTCTATTTTTTCCAAGTATTAACAAAAGCTTCTTTTTTATATATATTTAAAGCAGTTTTGGCACAACTGAAAGCGCTACACGCTTGTTGGACACAATTTATTTATTTTTAATAGTTTTTGGTTGATGGTGCTTGTTTTAATATGCCGAGCTTAGACTTTCTTAATATCAGAGTCTGTATTTTTTTTTTCCCTCTTTTTGTTTTGTTTTTAATAACAAGAATTTGTGTGCTGCATTTGCAGTATAGTTTTATCCTATGTGTCTCTTTCACCCATGGAATGATTCAGAGCAGCATGCATGTTTGTTTTAATTGGATTTAACAAGACCATAGGACAGGTAGGATTTCATAGGCATTTTTGTCGTTCTCATTAATGATTTTGAAGAATGCGCCTGTTAGGTGCTTCTTCATGTAGCACAGAAATTGTTCTTCTAACTGAAATAGCATTCTGTCTATTTCTTCCAATTGTTAATAAAGGCATATTGGTTATCTCAATTATTTTTGACACATTTAAAGCACTTCCAAATACATCCTTCTTGTTAGAGACGGTAGTTGGGTGTATAGATACAAGTCGATGAAGTTATATGATTAATGAGTCTATAGAACTAGTATCTCACTGATTTTGGATGCTTCTGTTTGTTAGATTGGTTTTGTAAGAAAATCAAGGAGTCAAGAGAGCTTGGTTGTGAGTTCCTAATATGTTTCCATTTCCTTTTATTCTGTTGGCTTTTAATAAGTGGCTAACGTGATTGATTATTCCTGGTTATTCTATGAGTCATATTCACTGGGGTTGAATTTCCAACATTGTTACGGTGATAATTTTCTCTTATGCTTGGTTTTCATTAATGATTTTGCTAATTTATTTAATGTTATTTTTCAAAGAAATTGTGGCTAGTTGCCCCTTTTCCCCGTTGTTTCTGTCACATGTGCTCCCTTCTCATAAGTTTTCCATGCTTTTATTGTTTGTCTTCGGTTTACAAATTAAATGCATTTATGATTCAGTTATGAACTTTGTAAAGATATGAATACTGGTATTTTATGAACTTTTTTCATTTTATAGAAATGGCTGTGGGAAATCTTTACGTAATGCCATCCTTGTGTCACAGGAGCAGATCTGTTTTCTCCAGAAGACATTAGGTTCCTTTTCTGGTTCTAGAAGAAATGATCTTGAAGACCCAAAAATTGGTTGGTTTGGCTGGCTACCGTAGAATGTACCGGTACAAAGCTTTTCCAGCGGTTCTGTCCGTCTGTTCCCGTTGCATCTTTTTGGTTTGAACAACGTGTTAGGTTTTCTTTGTGAAATCTTCGTTGATAGATCAGTTTCATTTTGGAATGATGGCATATAAATTGGTTCCAAAGCACTCCTAGGTTATGTTGATGTTTTCTTCATCTGCTCTAACATCCTTAAAGAAATTGCTAGACAATTCAAATGAAAGTTTATAGGTTGTTAATTGCCGCTGTATCTTTGATTACAATGCTTGTTTAAATTTTAAGTTAGCATAACTGGTTGAGAGAATTAGCCCACCCCCAACTCGTGAGTTCAAATAAGGCATTAGGCCTCCCCTTTGCAATTTTGTAAACTTGCTGGTGCTTAAATAAAGCATTGGTATCAAACTGAATCCCCTAAGAACCAAAATTTTTGCTAGCCTTGAATAGGGCTAAATATACAGAGTCTGTCTTACAGACACTCTGAAAGTATTAAGGATTTTCTTGGAATGGTGTAACAGTCTCTCGGCTACACCTGTTTATTCGGAATAAATTACGTTTACAGTGGCCTTGTATTTGAATAAACGAAATACTTTCACATCGTTTGGTGGTGAATAAGTAAAGGGACTAAAATAGTACTTGTATGAAAATTACTATGCAAGTCAAGAATTTCTTTTATTTATTTCCCTTTCTTTTGGGATGCTTTACTCTTTCTAGAATTTTGATTTTCATGGTATGTTTACTTGTTAATGAGTATTGAAATTATTCCAATTCCTGACTTCCCTTGTATTTGCTAATACCTTCCAATTAGGGGGAATAGTTGATCCCACGCCCATTCCTTCTCGCCTATTCATGATTTCCCTGATTCATTACTTCCCCCATTTCAAAAAAACGTAAATATGCCATCATTTTTTTTCTTCTAGGCATATTGTTTTGGAGTCCACAATAACGGAAATTGTTTTTATTTGCAAGGTCAATTGGATTATCAAGTGTCATACCCGAAGGCCCAAGTTTGACTGGCCCAGCTCCAACAACAACTGCAAGTCAAGTCCTGACAAGTTCTACCCGGAGTCTGACTCAGCATTAACACACAGCTTACATTTTGTTAAGACACGCAGGCCACACTTTCTAGTTGTTCCCGAGGAAATGTGGCTGGAAAAATTGAGGGAGCAGCTGATGGAAACCCTAACTTCCTGATGGAGATAATAGGTGAGATTCTTTCATGGCTGCCAGTCAGGTTGTTATGCTGCTTCAGGTGTGGATCTAAACCATGTAATTCTCTAAATTGGAACATAATTCACTCTACTCTTTGAATGTGGATGAGTTTCCAAATCGTAATCATGCATTTCTAACTCCCGTTGTTGTGCAATGACCTGTTGGTTGTGCACAATTTTTATGAAGCAGTCAGAATCTTTCAATTTATGGATTTCCTGAAGTTGGTAGAGCTGGGATGTACAGGGAGAGCCTTGCTTCACCCATTACCCTTACGTTATTGACTGAGAACATTAAGCATGAGACAACTGTAGATAAGAGAGGTAAAGAAGGTAAATCCACTCAATCTCTTTCTAGACTTTCTTGAATGTTTTAAATTGTTGCTGTATTTTTGGTGCACGACTGAATAAGGTTTTAATAGTTCTACCATTGTTTGATGGTCCCTGTGTTGAATACAAGTGCTTAGCTTGTACTTTGACTAAAAGGAGTCGGAAGAAGTTGCTTCAATCACCGCACATATGAGCATACATTTTTTTGTTAGATGAATTTTTGTGGTTTTAGTTTTGTCATGTCAGTCTTTTTCAGCCTGGAAATTATTCAAAGATAGTATAAATATTCATAGGCTAGGCAGGATTTGTTATGCGTTTTTTTGTCACCATTCTACTGTAGTATATCCGAACATAATAATGTTTTCGTGCCAAATATTTATCTGCTAAATCTTTTCATAATTTGACTTTCCTTTTGTCCTTCTTGAGCTAGGTACTCAATAGGAAACAGCAAATTTTTGGGGAATGTTTTGAAGTGCTTATGTTTAAGAACTTTTGCTCAGTAGCACTTTTTGTTAGAGGCACATAGAAATTTTCCTCAAAAGTTCTAGTGGTTTTGCAGATTCACTTGACAGTGCTTTCGGATAAGGAACCTATTAGTGTTTCTTGATCAGGAAGCACTACAAGTTTCTCCAAAAAGAATTTTTATCTATTTTTGCCAAAGATTAACCGTTTTAGGCATCTAAAAGTTTCTTTCAATATATCAAAAGCACATCCAAACATACCCTTCTTGTTAGACGTGGTAGCTGGGCTCATAGATACAAGTCCTTGATGTTATATATTGGCTAGCCTCGTACTACTCGTATCTCTCACTCATTTTGGGTGTTTCTGTT